TTGATGAAATAATTTGGGCGCCAAGTGGTTTTTGAAGCCCTTGCTGTTAAAAAAAACCACTAAAATTAATTACTCAGCAGTCCCCAACCCAACAAAAATGAATTGTTACGAGTTATCAAATATATATATTACTATATGAAAACGATATAGACCACTTATTGACACTGGCTCCTACTTTATATAATTGGGGGCTCTTGCAAGAGTACAAGAAGTATAGATAATAAACCTATCACTACACTAGGAAAGAGATATAGGCCTTATTGACATCTCAACAACAGTATCATAACTATCACTATTACTACTATCATTATTAATTATGACTATTATAATTATTATTATTGCTTTTATAATCAAAATATGTAAACGAATCGAAGATTAAAAAAAAGAAATCTCCTCTACGAGGTACTCATCCGTGATCTTTGATCTTGAATACATTCAGTGGATAAACTTTTCCTTTCAACTAACAGCTCAGTTCGCTATTCCTATGAATAAGCCACCTTGTATCTCATATGAAGGTCCAGAGAAAATTTTCCACCTTTGCTACTTGACAGTAAGCACCGATATAGCTCCCAAAAAAAAACGTCTAAAAAGCAATGATATCAAAGATTAAGCTGTGATCGAAAATGAATTGAATTGTAAGGGTAACACGGTTATGAAAAATGTTTACCTCTGAGTGTCGAGTCTCCTAGCACATCAAAGACGTTTTTCCAACAACCGTACAGCAGATACTGATCCAAATTTAATGTTTCACAATATTGGTCATATACCATACACCAGATATAACCATAAATAACACCAATATTGCATAAGGCACTTTTTAAGACTTATCCGTATAATACGATAAAATTTTGTTCATTCATACAGCCGATATCTATTCAACCTCTCACAAAATCTCCGCGGACCCCGTCCCGAATTCTCTGGTGTCTTTTTTTTTCCGCGCGCAAAAAATATTCGTTCGACTTACTTGTATTTGGAGCCACATATAGGACGATATTAAATAGTAAAATGTTGAGTACCCGTAATTAAGAAAATATCGTAACATTTTATTCCCGCACGTAAAATACAAGCTGAGAGGTCAACGTTTTTCGACACCTGAAGAAGCGGTTGCTGCCATTCAGAATGCATGTTTTGGAGATACCTCAATCAGAGTGGCAAAAGTGCTTCGACAATTGGTTCAAACGCATGCAAAAGTGTATAGATCTTCATGGGGAATAGTTTGAAAAACAATAAAGTGATTTTCGATGATTATTATCTGTTTTTGTTCTCTAATCCCGAAATATAAAAAGCAACCAACGCATTGCATGGACATTTGTTTGAAATATTGACTTTCTTAGAGGACAATGTGGGTGTATCTATCAGTGACCCCAGTACCAAACCGTGCCATCAATTTCATCCTTTTATTCGTGTAATAAAGGTTTTCCCGTTTATGCAAATTCGAATAAAAACACTAATTTGGAGGCGTAGGCGTATCTTATTACAGAGAAATCCAAAATTGACGTGTCCATATGCCGACAAAGGTAAAAAACTACCAAGATATAAATCAAAAATGGTGAATTATTAATTGAATCATTTTTCAGACGCGACAAAATCTTGAACGACCACTAAATACTACCCACAATCGTTACACCGTGGGCCAAAAACGATCAGTTCAATTTTGTAAATAAGCCTTTTCGAAATTAAAAACTACTTTCGTAATTAACCGCTCCTAACGTTTCTTTTAACGCGGCAATAATAAAAATTCAATTCCTCCGGCACTATCCAAACATAGTAATTTGAAATTATTTCAGTATCTTCCATCTCAAAATGATATTCAAATAAGATGGAGGAGTCGAGCTGTTATAATCGTGGTGAAACTAAAAGTCCATCAGCGGAGGTTTTTAATCAATGCGTGGGCTGCCATACGATGATGATAATAATTCTCCAACTTTGTTAATGCCGCCTGTATTGAAATAATCACCAATCATGAGAGTTACAACTTTGAGGCTGATCAGATTCGAGAACTCGAGATACAGCCACCGATAAGGCGCAATGAGCTTATAATGGAGCTACTGAATTGGGATTAGAGCATAATTACAAACATTGCATCATGTCGGATAACCAAAACAAATTTAATAGATCAGAGAGACCGTGTGATCCACAAAATTTATGACCGAAAGCGACTACATTTTTAGATGAATAACTTATAGATAGGTGAAAATTAAAATGTCTTCGTTAGTGGAGTCATATTGTTGCCGATCAAAGAGATATGATGAGTGAAATAGTTGCAGTAGTTCAAGAGAAGGTCCAAAAAAAACAAGCCCAAGCAATAACATTTTTGAAAATATTTTATATCAAAAATCTAAGAAAGTGTACTTAAACGGTTTACGGACTGGAGAAATACAAATAAATCAGGAGTAGCAGACCATGTTTCAGATATTTCAAATCATATTAAAAGCATTATACAACGGAAGTTCGAAGCAGTAAAATTCACCATGAAATATTATCAACCACTTTCAAACAAACTTCTAAACTATAGACATTTACAGTTATTGTGTAAAACGGCCAGGTAAATAATTAAAAATCTTAAGGCCACTATAATATTAATATAAGAAGTCTTTGACTAGAGTGGAGGCTGGTATGGTTAATCTTAGGTCATTAGCTTGACGAGGGGTATAATTATTGGATTAGACACTGAATGTAAGTTTATGTTTGTCAATCAAGCAGACTGTTGATGAAATAAACATTCCAAAAACTGTCAAAGTTTAAAAAAGGTTATTTCAATTCAAAGAATCACGTAAAAATTTTTTGCATAAAAATATATCCAATCACGAGATGGACCAAAAATATATTCGACTTCAATAAAAATGTGTGTAATATGAGTATGTAGGCGGAAGAATGTTATGGTATGAGTGAATCATTTTTCAAAGACTTCCAAAAAGGTGCTGATAAGGAGTTGTAGACTATATATGTTCAGAGAAGTTACAAGAGTTTGAAAATGATTTATCCTCATCGTCCTCTATTATCAATAAGTTTGAAAATAAAATTAACAAATGCGCTTGTGTGTATATTGTGTACGGTTCATGTTTGGATGAAAAAGACATTTGTAGAATTGAAAGAGTTCAAAAATCATGTCTTAGGTATATGGTATTAGAAAATATGACAGAATTTCATATGAACTTAAGGAAACCAAATAGTTAACTATGAAAAATAGACGGCTACCTCCATAAAACATTAATTAACAAATGTTCATCATATTCATATAACAAAATAAGTTTTCGTAGCGATGTTCACACTTTTAATTTGAACTAAAGGGTTACTTTTCCCTTCGCCACATCGAACCATTCTATATCGACGATCCTTCAGTTGTAACATACACAGTTTGTATAATAATATTCCACAAAAATATAAAGTTAGTAAAGTTTCCTTATTTAAGTGCTGTTACAAAAAAACATCGCTGCTCAATCAGAAAGTGATTGATTTCATTGATTTTATACTTCTGCAAAATTTTCAGTATGAACATTTTACATTTTTTATCTCCCTCTTCCCTCTATCTGTCCTCTTTTTTTCTCTACAACAGTACCCTTCCGGTACATGTTGTTTCTAGCCTCATTTGTAGTTTTTTCTTAGTTTTATAGATTGAATAATTATTTTAATTATATGTAATAAGAAACTACAAATAAATAAACGAATATATATTTTCTTATTAGTCAGTGGGCTATGCTTTTTTTTCTTCCTTATTCAGTTGGTTAGTACCTCGTTCACTAGATGGAGTGACATTTTGTTGTTTCGCTCCACCTTAGGAAGAGGAATTGAAAATCGGAAGAACTCCGATTTTCAATTATGGAATATCATTGACTTTAGGTCGATGATGGTCACTATCTTACACTGATGAGCGGCTAATGAGCCCGAAACCGGTCTGCAAATGTGCCCGTTCCAAAATTGAAGTCGACTCTTTCAGTAGTATTGCTAATTGCATATGCAGGAAATTTTCTAAGAAGATTCCTGCACTGACGCCTGTCGGATATAATCCAACGCCCTTCGTGGTATTAGCCAGGGGAGTAGTTGTTTTCTGATAGGCGTCAGTCCATTTAACCTTCTGTGTATGTATATTCGAGACTGGCTTGAAAGTTTGAAGTTCATTTTTTTAGAACAAACATATAGTTTTTCCAGAAATTTTATAGTAATACGTTTTGTGAACCGTCGTCACTATGAATGATAGCCGTTTCAATTCCATAACGAATGTTTGGAGTTTAATCCGAATAAGAGAAAGTAATTTATGTGTAATTACATGTTCTTATGAAAGTTATTGTATCAGATGAATTTTTTCTTACAGTTCCAATATACTGTTCACAATTAAACGTGCCATTACTCAGTAACTCATGAAATTTCATAGTTTTGCTCATCAAAACGAAAGAGTTAAGATAAGTGGCTGTATAATTTCTTAGCTCTTTTTATGATAAACGAAATTACTAATAAATAAAACAATTTCTTTTGTGAAAAATAATATGAATTTACCCAGTAACGGTTCGACGTGGGTGCTTTGTTCACTCACTCGAATTGCCGGGTTGGTCGGTGGTTCAAGCTTTAGTCTGAACGATTGATTTTCACTTGCTATCGTCCAACCCGTGTTAGGAATCACACGTTAAAAAGGTAAGACCTCGTTAATCCTTAGCCCGCACAAGTTTCGACTTCTGAGGGTTGTCGTTCGTAGGGGTGCGACAGTTGGTTAACGGAAAAACAGATTTCAAACAGATATTAACCCTTGAGTAAACGGGTGAAAAAATATACCAAGAAAGGACGGGTTGGATCTGAGATACACACATTTGTTATTATCATTATCTTTTTTAAATGAATTGAATTGATACTGTTCATGCAAAATTATGTTTATTGTTACTCTCACTGTTAACCAAAAACAAGTATTCCGATATATTTCATGTTTTACATATAAAATGTAACATAAAAGAAGATTCATGAAAATATACAAAGTGAAGAAAAATTATGTGGTACATGGATTCGGAACGTTAATTTTGAGCGCAGTCTGGGCATGTATGCTTGGAATGTTCCATACAAATCATTTTTTTATAGATGTGACAGAAAAATCTTGTTTTTCGATTTCGGCAAAAGACACATCTTCGATATGTTCCTTGCAGTGGATCTGCTTGCTCAACCAAACTCTGTCCACTAAACTTCGCAGCTTTCAGCCTTACATCTCTTGATATATGTTTGTCAATAGTTCTTCTCTTTAGCTGTTCCGTAACTAAACTCAGTCCTAGTTGTTTCAGGTATTTTCTCCTTCCTGTTATTGTGATACCCATATCCTTATTGTTGGTCCTATATATGATGAACGAATTTATTGCACTGACGTTGAGCAAGGAATAAAATATTGTCATTGGCCATCTCCTGGTATTTCTTGATACATCGTATGATGCCACCATTTGATCCACACAATCTACCCCCTCTCTTGTCACATTATACAGGGTGATCATTTCTGGCTTATTTTCATCTCCAGTACTTTCGTCGATTTTATCGTCATGATGCATAGTAGACAGAAACACAACTGATTTATTTTTTTTCGGTTTATAAGATACTAAAGTCATGTCTTTAGTGAAAGCAAACATACTAGTTTTAGCAGGTTTTCGCACTGTTAGAAATTCTGGTGGAATTTCCACTTTATTCTTGCGTAAAGTTCCCAGAAGAGTCAATTTATGATCAGTCAATAGTAATTGTGCTAAGGGGATAGAGGTAAACCAATTATCCATCGTGATGTTTCTTTTGCTATCATGGATGGGCTCTGTCATTCTGACAACAACATCAAGAGATTTATTGCTCACTTTGTATGGTCCAGCTGGTTGGGTTCCTGTATACACTTCCATGTTGAACGTATAATACATCCTAGCATCTACAAGCGAAAATATTTTTATTCCATATCTTGCAGGTTTATTAGGTATGTACATTCGGCAGGCACATCGGCCACGGAAGGCTAATAGCATTTCATCAATCGTGACGTATTCTCCTGGCGAGTAATGATTTCTGAATTTTCCATTTACTTCCTCAAACAATTCCCTAATAGGTTCAAGATTGTCGGTTTTTTTCCTCTCTTCACGTGTATCGACATCATCAAAGTGTAACCATCTTATCAAAAAGCGAAATCTTCTTTTAGCCATAACTGCTGGGAATATCTCCAGACCAGTACCATTTGTTGCCCATAATTCGTAAATAGTGGTTCGACCTCCTTTATGGACACCAGCTAAATATAACAGGCCGATTGGTGCTTTGATTTCCGTTATATCTGTGTAACGTACGTCGTATTTATCTTTATATGAATGAGCTACTTTTTCAATGAACTGATTGGTATATTCAACTATACTATGTTATCCGAAAAAAAAAGCTTCCAAGTTTCCATTGCAGTTTTTGAGTTTTTTGCAACGCCAATAACACCTGGCAGCTTTTTTATCAGATTATGTTGCCTATTTCGAACATTCTTTGGAAAGCAACACTTATTCCATTGAAAACCAGTTTTTCCATAATAAGACAGGTGACGATGTATACCACGACGTTGATCCATATCTACAATCATTTCTTCCTCTTCATCATCCATACTCAGCTCCTGTTCTGAATTTGTTTCATGAGTACTTATAATGTTTGTTCTATCCTCCAACCTCTCCATATCATCCTTTCTCAGAATCATCATCAGATTTGACTTCTTCGTCAGTCAACACTTCATCAAACATAGATTGCAACTCTCGTATCTCTCTTTCGTAGGGATCATTCATCATGAAAGCTGTGAAATAAGCGTATCAATACATTTCATCGAAATGAGTTTGAAAAAAATCTTACCACGAAGGCACGGGTTGGATCTGATATACACCAATGGTCTGAATTAGCGGGAACTAAAAGTGCAAGCGAAACAAACTTCTCAGGATATAAAGGTCTACTGAAGATAGGAAGGTAATGCAGAAGACGGCAATCATATGAGCGGCGTTCAAGAGGGGAGCGCTCAAACGTAATAGGCTGTGTATGTCAGACCCAACCCGTGCACTCAAGGGTTAAACTTATAGGGGCGAACTGAAAATTTTACCCTTTCCACACGTGTATAAAGTTGTCCATTACAATTTTTATATTTTAGACTGTGGAATGTGGAAAAACATAAAAATGTCGATAAAAAGTCTGCCCCCGCTTCTCAACACATAGGGACGTATCGGTTGAATTAAATCCAGTCGTGAAAAAAAACCTTAATGTTGCTGTCGCCGATTAGCAATGCACATTCAATACTCTACTACCGTAATTAGACAAAAATTAATTGGATCCATCATCCCAATTACAAAACCCATTCGGTTGAATATCGATCGGCGTACTGTTATGGGAATCAGATAAGAACGTATTAGAAAAAATATCGCAAATTAATAGACTTAATTACGCGCAAGATCAGGGGAAGACAGAATAACTGAAGATAATTGATTGGTAGGCGCCAAACGGCACGCACCTTTTCACACTCCTTGCAGCAGGATTGCACGTTAAACAACTTGTTTCCGCAATAATACGCAAGCATGACCAAAGAGCCTGTAAATCATTGGAAAACAATCAAGAAGGCGATAGCCGTAATGGTTATAAATTTTTATTTTGTTAGTTCTTAAATGAAAATCTAGATCTTATTAGTACAAAAATAATGATCTAGCTGCTGCCTTTAAAACTGTACTTTTGTAAGCAAAAACCAGTTTGGGTTTCAGGCGGAAAAAGATAAAAATGATGCCATCTTCTTTGTTCTATATGAAATTTTACTCTGAATTGAATGCTGGTGAAGTAGACGCCGCAATTTTTTGGAATATTTCAAAGGCGTTTGATTGCGTCAATCATAAAATTTTACTGAAAAAACTTCATAAATATGGATGTAGAGGTGTAACGAACACTTGGTTTGGTGTCAAATGGTGAGGACAACGAAACTCTCAGAGAACAGGGCCATTGAATCTGGTGAACCACAGGGTTCTGTGTTAGGCCCTATTCTATTTCTGCTACATATGAATGACATCTCTATGATTAACATATCGGGTAGTTTCACTCTATTCGCGGATGATACTACAATATTGTGCAAAAAAAAAACTCTGTGGAGCTAAGTAAAATAATATCATCCGACTTGAAGAAGGTGCGATACAAATTTACTCTCTCTTAATGCATCCAAAACGAATATAATATCATTCAAATGTTCGCTTGATGAAATTTCAGTAGGCGCTGACATATTACAAAATAAAAAAAAAATTAAACACAATATTTCTCGGTGTATTCATTGATAATAGGCTGAAATTTGATGAACACCTTAAACAACTCAAGAGTAAGATCTTCTCCTGATGTTATGCAGTTAGAGTGAGTTGGGTTTCCATATCGCAAAGACCGTTTACCATGCCTGTCTTCCTTGTAAGACAGGTTGAAAAGTCTGCAAAACACTGGTTTGCGTTCATTTTATCACTTTTTAAGTACGCTGACGAGCACTTCATCAGGACCAGACGCCTTATTAATATTGAGCTGTTTCAAAATTTGCCTGACTAGGTGTTGTCTAAAAGTAATTTCCGGCATTGTAGATTCTAGTGTGGGAATATTGACAGGTGCTTTTCCCAGAAAATCGACTGTGGAGTGGGACGCAAATTGTTCAACTAGTAGTGTTGTTGCTTTCAATTAGTTTTGTTCACTTTTGTTCACTTTGTATGTTAAAATTATTGATCATGGTTTGTTTATAAAAAAAGACGATTTTGACATTGACAATAATTTGAAAGACAAAAAAAATAAAGATATTGACTTGAAACATTTGATTCCTGGTTTATTTCGACTTTAAATCAGAGGAATTCACTGTAGGACTGACTAGTCCGAACATTGGTCCTTCGAGCCGGATAGCCTCACGCCAAATCATTTTTTAATGCACTGTTCAAATGGAGCTGCACCACCATTGGGAAACTTTGAGAAAGTCGAAGTGAACTTGAGAAAACAGTGGAGAGTATCTCAAGCCTTAGCGGATATATTTTGGAAGAGATGGCGAAATGAATATTTACTTACACTGAATAAACAAATGAAGTGGTATGATAAGGGGGACGACTTATCGGAGGACGATGTGGTACTCGTCATTGACGACACATTACAAAGGAATTTGTGGCCACTTGGGAAAATTGTAAATGTTTATAGGGAAAAAGATGATAATATTAGAGTTGTGGACGTCAAAACAAAATCAGGAACCTATAAAAGGCCAGTTACAAAGATCTGTAAATTGATGAGTGGTACAGGTTCTTAACGAAAATGAATTGAAGACTGTGTCAAATGAAGTGATTTCATCACGAGGGGGAGAATGTTGTTGCTTTTAATTAGTTTTGTTCACTATTGTTCACTTTGTATGTTAAAATAATTGATCATGGTTTGTTTATAAAAAAAGACGATTTTGACATTGACAATAATTTGAAAGACAAAAAAAAAATAAAGATATTGACTCAAAACGTTTGATTCCTGGTTTATTTCGACTTTAAATCAGAGGAATTCACAGTAGGACTGACTAGTCCGAACACTGCACTGTTCAAATGGAGTTCAAATGGAGTAGATTTGCTTTTTCTACGGCTGTAGAAGTGTAGACTTCTGCATCAGACTTTGAGATTTTTTGAATATCGAACACATAAATAGATATAATTTAGAAGTAGAAAGCAATCAGCAGACTTTTCATAATATTTATGGATGACAGCTGAGAAAACGAAATTCATGACAATCGATCGTACCTAATTAACTGGGCGTCTCATTCGTAAATTAAGTGTCCTTTCAGGCAATTTTGAAAAACAACCCACTCCCTCCCACGTATGCACATTCGACATTCGTGTGTGGTGTGGGAGCTCTTGGCTCTGTTTACACGTTAATAAACCAAGTTTCACGATGGGAGGCCGAGATCATTTCTTATATAAACGGCCATTCCCAATTTGGGCGTCTTATCTCCCATCTTTCTTCGCCAATTATAATTTACATTGTCATGGATGTCACTACGAAAAAACGGTTCGTATGACGTTAATAGATTAACTTTCTGTGGCTGATCGGCGGCGCGTCCTTTCGAAACGTACTATTTTTTGATACGGCAATTATAGAATATATTTACGCTTATCTGCGAGATCTCATGAACAATAGACGTCAATCAAAGTGTCAATTGGATTAGTTTTCGAAGAATGTCTGTGGAGAAATCCGAAAAGAGTTGAACAAATTGCCTGGCTGCTATGTTGACGTACTTGCGTGAGAATGACAGCATTGACAGGAACTCCCGAGTGCTGCAGGGGGCAAAGTGAACACGTATTATTTCACTCTTTCTCAGTTAGAGTGAATTCGATACACTATTATAAGTAATGTTTGGAATAACGCCGAACAAACCCGTGAATCTTCAAAGTGTCTTATTTTGAACATGAAGTGGTAGAAAGTTTCGTTACAGATATTACCGTAAATTGCTGTTCATAATAATAATAATAATATATTTCCATAAACATGATTTTGTGATACAATAAATGTATAAATAAATGAATGAATAAATGTATAGTAAATGTAACAGTTAACCCACAAGAGGATATATTCTTGTGGGTGGGGTTATAAGTAATAAGGGAAACAATAATACAACTATTGATTTTTTATATAGATATCAGAGTATATACTGGGGTTAACTGAATAAGTGTAAAACATTTGAGGAGGCGATTCCTCATCGAAAAAAAGATAGGATCTTTCATATAAAGAAACTTCATTGGAGCATCCCTTGTTGAGATACAGCCCCTTAAAGGGGGTACATAAAATTTGTTTAACAATTTTTTTCACAAGCACTGAAAAAGTTACAATATTGAAATTGACCTGACGTTTTCTACTACCAAAAAGTCACTTAGCCAGTAATTTATTTGGTTTACCCCACGGTGATAAGGGATGGAAAACGCAACCCCTAAAATTTATTTCCAATGTAACTTTTTGTTTTATTATTTGTTTACCATGTAAAAATTCATTCAGAGATACATCGTCATAAATGCGAACTGGATTTATTGTTATTTTGTAGTTAGTATCTGCATTAAACGGTTAAAGGTTAATGAACAAAACTAATTTATTAATAACAAAACACACAACATGTACAAGTCCCGATGTCTACCTTCAGATATGACGCATGCGTCATTGAGCCACGTATTTTCGACAATAGCGTGAGGGTTTTCATCAGCCCATATGTGGTAATTATGAAAATTAATTATCTTATCCCGAAAAAACTACATTCGTCTGTGAATTATATCGTCTTCAGAAAGTCACAATTTCTTCTAATCATTTCCAGCATCCAATTGCAAAATTCAAGACGGTTCGGAAAGTCTCGCGGTAACAGTGCCTGTACTCGTTGCAGATGGTAAGGGTATAAGAGTTGTTCCTTTAAAATTCGAATTACCGTCATATGATCAACATTTTGCTGAAAAGCAATCTTTCTAGTACTGGTAGTAGGTTGTTCTTCAATCAAATTAAGTACTGCTTCCTCAAGCTGTGGTGTTCGTACTTCTCGATGAACCACGTAATCGTTGATGAAGTCGAGCAAATATTCTATGTGAAGGATGCTGCCGTTGAGGATACATTTCAGCATATCATCTAGAAGCTTCTGACCCATTCCCCTGCGACAGACCGTAAACGTAATGCAGCATATCAGCC